ACCGCACTGATGGTGCCTCAGTGTGAATTTCACTGGGAATCAAGTCATTTGGATTAAGGAATCAGCCCTTTGGAGAGAGAGAGAAAAAATTACATTACAATGAACATCTCACAACTGCAGCAGACAGGGAGTCTGATCTAGCCAGTTGGCAAGAAAGTGCTGGAAAGGAAGAAAGAAAAAGAGAAAGAGAAAGAAAGAAAGAAAAAGAAGAAAGAAAGAAAGAAAGAGAAAAAGAAAGAAAGAGAGAAAGAGGGAGGGAGGGAGAGAGAGAGAAGAAATTCTTATTATATTCTGGAGAGAAGGAAGTTTCTTGAGGATGGGCTCAAAAGCTTGGAAGAACAAACTTTTGGTCCTATTGATTGACTCACATTGGATCCTGCAACATTATTCTGGGACACGTGTATAGAAAGAACGAAAGAACGAAGGGAAGGAAGGAGTGGGTGGAGGGAAGGAATAAAAGAAGAAAGGAGATGGGAGGGAGGGAGGGGGAGAGAAGGAAGGAAGGAAGGAGAAAGATGGGAGAAAGGGAGGGGGAGGTAAGGAAGGAAGGAGGAAGGAAGGAAGAAGAAAGATGGGAGAGAGGGGAGGAAATGAAAGAAGGAAGGAAGGGAAAGGGGGAGGGAGGGGAAGAAGGGAGGAGGGAGAGGAGAGGAAGGGAAAGGAAGGAAAGAAGGAAGATGAGAGAGAAGGAGGGGAGATAAGGAAGAAGGAAGGAAGGAGAAAGATGGGAGAAAGGGGAGGAAATGAAAGAAGGAAGGGGAAGTGGGAGGGAGGGGAAGAAAGGAGGGAGAGGAGAGGGAGGGAAACGAAGGAAGGAGAAAGATGGGAGAGAGGGAGAGGGAAGTAAAGAAGGAAGGAAGGAGGAAGGAAGGGAAAGATGGGAGAGAGGGGAGGAAATGAAAGAAGGGAGGAAAGGGGGAGGGCGGGTAAGAAGGGAGGAGTGAGAGGAAGGGAAAGGAAGGAAGATGAGAGAGAGGGAGGGGGAGATAAGGAAGGAAGGAAGGAAGGGAGGGAGGGAGGGAGGAGGAAGGAAGGAAGGAGAAAGATGGGAGAGAGGGGAGGAAATGAAAGAAGGAAGGAAGGGAAAGGGGGAGGGAGGGGAAGGAGGGAGAGGAGAGGAAGGGAAAGGAAGGAAGATGAGAGAGGGAGGGGGAGATGAAGGAAGGAAGGAAGGAAGAAGAAAGATGGGAGAGAGGGGAGAAAATGAAAGAAGGAAGGAGAAGGGGGAGGGAGGGGAAAAGGGGAGGAGGGAGAGGAGAGGAGAGGAAGGAAGGAAGGAAGATGAGAGAGAGGGAGGGGGAGAGAAGGAAGGAAGGAAGGAAGGAAGGAAGGAAGGAAGGAAGGAAGGAAGGAAGGAAGGAAGGAAGGAAGGAGAAGGGGGAGGGAGGGGGAGGAGGAAGGGAAGGAAGGAAGGAATGAAAGACTAGAAGAGAATGGGGTTTGCCCTGTCAGTGCTGATGGGGGTCTTGTTTTCTCCATAGCCACATTGTTTTCTTCTTGGATTTTACCTAAACCCCCCCCCCCTCCATGCAATGATCTTGGGGAACAGCAGATCAAACCGGCAAAGTTCACATGTCCCATCTTGGTCTCAACCTTCCCCATTAGAGAATATTTTTTATACATCATTTAGAATTTATATTTCTATTTTTTTTAGTCGTCCCCACCAGTCCCCCCCCTTCCCCCCACCCCTGGACCCATCAAGCAGAACTGTCAGATTGGAGGAGCACTTCATCCAAAGGGCAGGGATTTCTAAACCAAGGAGGTATTTATTCCTTCGAAGGGTTTAACGTATTCATTTACTCCCGGCGTCGCTTCCCGACGCCGAGGGGGCTCGTGTCCGTAAGACGTAGACAAGCAGATTTAAAAAAAAAAAGGACAGGGAAGATGTATTATTAAAATCTAGCTCTCCATTTAAAATGTTAATACTGAAAAAGGCATCCATGGATGGACCCTGGGCACTGCAGGGATTTAAAAAAATGACAATTTTCTCTTAAGCCTTTTAAAGCCCCATCGTCAAAAATGTGAAAGGCCTCCTGTGGCTTATTTCTGCAATTCTTTGCTTATTCCATTGCTCTCTTGCTACAATCCAGGATGTTTTTTTAAAAAACTTTAGTGATCTAGATGGAAGATATATTATCCTTATACCTAGTCATTCAAGTTTTAGAAATCCCCCTCCTTCTCCTTCTCCTCCTCCTCCTCCACCACCACCACCCTTCTAGCACTGGTGATGTTACCTAGTAGGGTAGTGAAATGTCTACAACAAAACCAGCCAAGCTCAGAGAGCAAAAAGCACCCCATAGTCCTCCTTCTCCTCCTCCTCCTCCTCCTCCTCCTCCTCCTCCTCCTCCTCCTCCTCCTCCTCTTCTTCTTCTTCTTCTTTGTCCTCCTCCACCCTTCTAGCACTGATGATGTTACCTAATAGGGTAATGAAATGTCTACAAGAAAACCAGCCAAGCTCAGAGAGCACCAAGCACCCCATAGTCATCGTCCTCCTCCTCCTCCTCCTCCTCCTCCTCCTCCTCCTCCTCCTCCTCTTCTTCCTCTTCTTCTTCTTCTTCTTCTTCTTCTTCTTCTTCTTCTTCTTCTTCTTCTTCTTCTTCTTCTTCTTCTTCCTCTCCTTCTCCTCCTCCTCCTCCTCCTCCTCCACCCTTCTAGCACTGATGATGTTACCTAGTTGAGTAATGAAATGTCTGCAAGAAAACCAGCCAAGTTCAGAGAGCACCGCATAGTCTTCCTCCTCCCACTTCTCCTCCTCTTCATCCTCCTCCTCCTCCTCCTCTCTGCAACTTCCCCTCCCTTCTAGCACTGATGAAGTTACCAGCAACCGCTCCTTATATGTTTTAGCCTCCAGTGCCCTAATCATCTTTGTTGCTCTTCTCTGTACTCTTTCTAGAGTCTCAACATCTTTTTTACATCACGGTGACCAAAACTGGATGCAGTATTCCAAGTGTGGCCTTACCAAGGCATTGTAGAGTGGTACTAATACTTCACGTGATCTTGATTCTATCCCTCTGTTAATGCAGCCTAGCACTGTGTTGGCCTTTTTGGCAGCTGCAGCACACGGCTGGCTCATATTTAGGTGATTGTCCACTAGGACTCTGAGATCCCTCTCACAGTTGCTACTATTGAGCCAGGTACCCCCTATACTATACCTGCGCATTTGGGTTTTCTTGCCTAAAGGTAGAACCTTTTTCATCCTTGAATTTCATTTTGTTAGATAGCGCCCAGTGTTCAAGTTCACTTCACGTTGCGTCCATTTCATACCAAGGAAGAAACAGACAGTCCTCAAATTAGCGACCCCAACTGCACCCCAAATTTCCCTGCCTCTGTGAGACCTTTCTCAAGTCAGCTTTGCCCCATTTTGCAACTTCGTTGGCCACGGTCATTAAACGAGTCACTTCAGATGTTACGTTATTAATACTGTGGTTGAGTGAATCGGGCTTCCCCGTGGCCTTGGCTTGCCAGAAGGTCACCAAAGGGAATCACAACACACACACACACACACACACACACACACACACACACACACACACACACACAGGATACTCCCAAGATCATAAATACGAGTCTGTTGACGAGTGTCCAAATTTTGATCCCGTGACTCTGGGGATGCTACAATGGTCGTATAAGAAGAGACTGGACAGCCATTTGTCTGAAATGGTATAGGGTTTCCTGCCTGAGCAGGGGGTTGGACTAGATGACCTCCAAGGTCCCTTCCAACTTTATTATTATTGTTGTTGTTGTTGTTGTTTTATTATTATTATATGTGTGAAAAGCAGTCATCAGTCCCTTTTGTTCAGGGCCGTTGTAACTTGGAACAGTCACTAAATGAACTGTTGCAAGTTGTAGGACTACCTCCGTGTCAAGGATTTATATCAAGTCATTAAGACATTTGTAGTTTTAGATCCAGTCCTCTTCCTAATAAATCACATTTGGCATTTCATTAATTTCTCCCCAACCTGAAAGCTCAGAGCAAGGAACAATCAAAATCATCATTTAAAAGAGCTTCCACTACTAAAAATAAATAAAATAAATAAAATAAAAATGAAATACTGTACACAGACCCGCTCAAAATGTCTCATAAAACAACAACAAAAAAAATCCCAGCAATGTCTTAAGGAACAAAGTTCCCTGCATCAGAGCATCTCCTGCATGGGAATTATTATTATTAATAATAATAATAATAATAATGATGATGATGATGATGATGATGATGATGATGATGGAGAAGGAGAAGGAGAAGGAGAAGAAGAAGAAGAAGAAGAAGAAGAAGAAGAAGAAGAAGAAGAAGAAGAAGAAGAAGAAGAAGTAGTAGTAGTAGTAGTAGTAGTAGTAGTTGGTAGGGACCTTGGAGGTCATCTAGTCCAACCCCCTGCTCAAATAGGAACCTCTATACCAGGGGTAGGCAACCTTGGCTCTTTTATGACTCGTGGACTTCAACTTCCAGAATTCCTGAGCCAGCCATGCTGAGGGGAAGAGAGAGGTTTCCAAGCTGAGCCATGCTGGCTCAGGAATTCTGGGAGTTGAAGTCCACAAGTCATCAAAGAGCCAAGGTGGCCTACCCCGTTCTAGTCCAACCCCCTACTCAAACAGGAGACCTTATACCAGAGGTAGGCAACCTTGGCTCATTTATGACTTGTGGACTTCAACTCCCAGAATTCCTGAGCCAGGCACACTGAGGGGAAAGGGAGAGGTTTCCAACCTGGCTCAGGAATTCTGGGAGTTGAAGTCCACCAGTCATAAAGGGGCCATAGTCCCGATGCTGGCTCAGGAATTCTGGGAGTTGAGGTCCACCAGTCATAACAGAGCCAAGGTAGCCTACCCCTGTCCTATACCATTTCAGACAAATGGCTGTCCAGTCTCTTCTTAAAAACGTCCAGTGTTGGAGCACTCACAGCTTCTGGAGGCGGGTACTTCCCCTGATTAATTGTTCTGACTGTCAGAATTGAAGCACAACTTCACACAACGTGAACCAATCTTGAGTTTGCAAAGAGACTCACAGGCCGTCACGCAGTTCCGGGGTGTCATTTTCTGTCCCAACAGCTTTAAGGCTTCTTTCCAGAGATGTCACTGGGGGAAAAAACAAAACAAAAAAACAAGACAATTTCTGTGAAAATGACTTGGCCGGAAAGCATAGCCGCACTGACCTAAAACAAGATTTGATTCAGTTCAGAACTGCAAGGGTAGCGGTAATAACACAACTTTACAACTGTTTGAACTGTCCCGAAGGTGCTTTTCAGATACCATTTCAGAAAAATGGGGGTCCAATTTCCTCTTAAAAACATCCAGTGTTTTTGGAGCACCCACAACTTCTGGAGGGAAGCAGTTCCACTGATTTGATTGTTCTGACTATTTGCAGGACTTTGTACTTTGTTATCTTCTCCAGTTTTTCTATTCTGCAGTCTCCTGGGACTGCCACATCCACTAACCAGGTTTTTTCTGTCTGTCCTATCAACAATTGATAAGTTTAAAAACATACCTAGCAACTGTTGGAAATGTAGAAAAAAAAAACAGGCACTTATTACCATCTTGGGTGGACGTGCCCCAAAGCCAAAAGATTCGGGTCAAGAATACACGTGGTTAGAGAAAAATTACTAAAAAAAACTTATAGATTTTAAGCCAGAATTATTTTTGTTAGGCGTAATTGTAGGAAACTATGAGAAAGAGTGTATATATCCAATATGACATGTATTAACTGCAGCGAGAATTGTATTCACTCAACGCTGGAAAAATGAAGATTTATCAACGGAGGAAGAGTTAATTAAAAAAAAATTAGATTTTGCAGAAATGGATAGATTGACATTGAAAATGAAAGAGAAAGAAGATTCAGTATACTTTGCAGTGTTTCCCAAACTTGACCATTTTAAGGCATGTGGACTTCAACTCCCAGAATTCCACAGCCAGCAATGCTGGCTGTGGAATTCTGGGAGTTGAAGTCCACATGCCTTAAAATGGTCAAGTTTGGGAAACACTGCTTTAGAACAGGGCTTTTCAACCTTTTCACCCATTGTACCACTTTTAGGATATGGCAATATCCAAGTACCACCCGTCACCTAGCAAGATGTCAAAAACTTGATGACTTAAAAAAAAAAGGAAAAAGGTGATAAAGTACAGGTAGTCCTCGACTTACAACAGTTCGCTTAGTGACTGTTGGAAGTTACAATGGCACTAAAAAAAGTGCCCCCCCCAAGCCACAGCCGAGCAAGACACCTGCCTGCCTGCCCAGTGGCGCTCTTCCTCCTATCCGAAGTTTTCATTGTTGTGAGTATTTCTGTTGAGGATTGGCAGTGAGGGTGGGGTGGGGGGGTGTTTGGTTTTTATTCCCCCCATCTGCTGGGTGGTTGCAGCAGGTTTTGGTCACTTTACATGACCTTCGGACACTGACTGTCATAAATATGAATCAGTTGCCAAGCATCTGAATGTAAATCACAACACCCTGGAGATGCTGCAACATTCCAGCTGATTGGCGCTTCTTCTGGGCTCAGCAGAAGCACCAGGATCAGCGCCGAGCTCCAGCCCTGACAGCCCTGCAGCTCCAGCCATCTCTCGCTCAGGCTTGTGCAGTGCTGCCACCGGCTCAGCTCATTCCCCTCCCCTGCAACCATTTTTCTAGGATGGTCGCGTATCACCTGCCAGGTGCCAATGTACCACAGGTGGTACCCGTACCACTGGTTGAAAAGTTCTGCTTTAGAACATGGAACATCTTTTATCAATGGCTAGAAAAATGAGATAGAGAGAAAGGAATTTAACACGTATTTTTCTTCTTCTTCTTGTGCCCTATCTATTATCGGACGTTGGCGATCATGTTGGCGATCCTGTTTTTATCAGCAGCTGCACAAGAAAGTGCTGCTGAGTTTTGTCCAAACCAATCCCTTAGATTTTGAAGCCAGTCTGAAAACGGTTCCATGCCCTTTTGCACTACTCAGCTGGCCCCGGGAGCACAGATAAACCCCCAAGTGGCCTCAACGACTCTCAGAGAGAGTACAAACGACCAGATGACTGCACGGGATATAAATCTTTCCATTCTCCACAATTCCGAAGAAGAACTGAAGAAGCTTCTTGGGTGAGAAGTGAAAGGTCTTCAAGGAAAAAACAAAGTCCAGTTGCCTTTGGATAGAAAGCACCTTTGGGACAACTTCAAAATGAACAATGACACTTTCCAGAAGTCCCACTGAAGCAAGGGAGGAAGTAAACATCGCCAGTAAATATAGGCACGACGTCACGCCCTCCACCCCTCCCCTTCTTTGCCTGCGCCCAAATTTAATCTGCAAATCAGCACGACAATTAAGTAACACCTCCCAGAACAAAAATCTGGATTGTTCCTTTTTTTTTCCCTAAAGCTGTGAGGCCACAGACGAGATCCTCAAAACACGAGAATATTCAACGTCTGGAGTTTATCTGTACATCTTGAGTAAGCCATATGACAAACTATTTTTATTCCTTTTGTTTTGGATTTTGTTTAAAAAAAACTAACGATATGGTATACATTTCCTTACATTTGAAATTATTTCTGCTACTTCTCCCCCACCCCAAGTTGTTGTTGTTGTTGTTCTTGTCATTTTTTCTTTCAATATTTGCACACAAAACACCGCAGGAAATGAACCTTCCGAAATGTTGGACATACGAACCATTGGCATTAATTCGGAAGATGCTGGCCGAGGTGGTTTGAAAAATATCTTGGAGTTCGTTCGGATCGATCTGGGTGGCTAGAAAGGAGGGGGAAAAACAGAGAGAGAGAGAGAGGGAGGGAGGGAGAGAGAACACACGTTATTAGATCGGATCGCAGATGGCACCCCAATTCCAACATGCACATTAGTGCTTTGCACAATTCCCTGTTCACACAACCTACGACAAAACGGAGCCCAACATTTCTGTGGCTAAGACAGACGATTGTTAAGTGACTTTTGCCCTGTTTTACGACCTTACTTGCCGCCCTTGTTAAGTGACAAATCCCATGACTGGAGGTTAAAAAAAGCAAGGAAGGAGAATATTTCTAAATTATTACAGGTAGCCCTGGACTTACGACCGGAATGGAATGAAATGGAAGGAAGGAAGGAAGGAAGGAAGGAAGGAAGGAAGGAAGGAAGGAAGGAAGGAAAAAAGATAGGATAGGATAGGATAGGATAGGATAGGATAGGATAGGATAGGATAGGATAGGAGGGAGGGAGGGAGGGAGGGAAGGAAGGAAGGAGGGAGGGAGAGAGGGAGGGAGGGAGGGGAGGAGAAAGGAAAGGAAAGGAGTGGGGGGAAAGAAAGAAGGGAAGAAGGAAGGAAGGAAGGAAGGAAGGAAGGAAGGAAGGAAGGAAGGAAGGAAGGAAAAGAGAAAAGGTTAGGAAAGGATAGGATAGGATGGAGGGAAGGAAGGAAGAAAGGAGGGAGAGAGGGAGGGAGAGGAGGGGAGGGGAAGGGAAAGGGAAAGGAAAGGAGAGGATAGGAGAGGGAAGGGAAGGGAAGGAGATGAAAGGAAAGGAAAGGAAAGGAAAGGAAAGGAAAGGAAAGGAAAGGAAAGGAAAGGAAAGGAAAGGAAAAGGAAGAATTCCTAATATCGTCAACTTTCCAAACTTCTTTCCATGTCCTTTCTGAGTGTAACTTTTTTTTCAACTGAAGGACAAACCATCCAAAACTATTTTCACCTTTCCCGTCCGCAGAGTTAAAGTTGTGATTTATGATTGCAAAATCAGCAGAAATAGAAAAGCCTGTTCCAGATTGTAATCAAGGTTTTAATCAGACCTCGTCTGACATTATGGGTATTTTTTTTTTAATTAACTTGTTTTCGTTTGCCTTTTTGTTTCCTTATTTAGATGGCTCATTAATAAACAGTGGTGCAGGGAGAACAAAGCCCCCACCATCCCTAAATTCTCAGCTTTTTCATTTCTGTCCTGTTCATATTTTACAATTTAGAGGGATTCTAACGGAAGCAGAAAGGAAAGGGGTAATTTTTATGCCCCCCCCAATATATGATTACGGAGCAGGGTTGTTGTTTTTTAATCCAGCCAACCTGAGTCCAAAAATATTGAGAATTAATTGGAAATAAGAGGATTGGGAAAAGAAAGAGTGTTAGAGAGATAAAGAATGATTTAACTTAATGAAAAAGTTTTCCACAACTTTTTTCAGGGCCAGGATGAAAGAAAAAAAAAGAAACCCTTCAGGTGTGCATTAAAATACAAAGACATTTGCCTGCTGTTCAGTTTAATCAAGATGGACTAGATGACCTCAAAGGTCCCTTCCAACTTTATTATTATTATTATTATTAAGATTTAAACAAAAAATGTGAAATACATTAAAATCCTTCCTACAAGGTTTCAAACTGGTCATTTGTCGATGACTTTGAAGAGGAGATACCAAAGCCACACAAAACCCTTTGAGGTGCAAGGTTAATAATAATAATAATAATAATAATAATAATAATAATAATAATAAAGTTGGAAGGGACCTTGGAGGTCATCTAGTCCAACCCCCTGCTCAGGCAGGAAACCCTATACCATTTCTGACAAATGGCTGTTCAGTCTCTTCTTAAAAACTTCCAGTGTTGGAGCATTCACAGTTTCTGGAGGTGGGTTGTTCCACTGGTTAATTGTTCTGTCAGGAAATTTCTCCTTAGTTCTAGGTTGCTTCTCTCCTTGGTTAGTTTCCATCTGTTGCTTCTTGTCTTTGCCTTCAGGCGCTTTGGAGAATAGCTTGACTGCCTCTTCTTTGGGGCAGCCCCTGGTTGAGGTTCTACTACGGAACATATGAGCAACTTTGCAAATATCCCTGAAAACTGCCCTCCCCAAATCCCCAAAATTACTTTGACATTTGGCTTCGGAAGAAACTTTGCTTTGGGACCCCTTCGTTATTTCTGAGACGACCTTTTTTTTTTTTAACATTTGAGAAGAGAGTGGTGGTGCTTATTATCACAAGAGAAGTCCATAATGCTTGGCAAGAAAGAAAGAAAAAGGAAGAGGGCGGGCACCAGCAACGAGAAGGGATTTAGTGATAGCTGCTATAGCTGAACATATTCCAAAATCGTCTTACCGTAAAATTCAGTACCGGCCAACTTATAAAAAAACCCTTTGAACGCAGGCGAGTTATATTTAATAAGGCAGTTAAAACGAAATCCAATTTTAAACACCTCGCAGCCAGAAAATGCCCATAAAAAATTTGGATGTCAACCCGATGCACTTGTAAATGGGACTCACAACCATCCAGAAGAGAGAGAGAGAGAGAGAGAGAGAGAGAGATGATAGATAAATAGATAGACAGGTAGGTAGGTAGGTAGGTAGGTAGGTAGGTAGGTAGGTAGGTAGGTAGAAAGAGAGGCAATAGATAGACACAATAGATAGATAGACACAACAGATAGACACAATAGATAGATAGATAGATAGATAGATACGTAGAAAGAGAGACAATAGACACAATAGATAGATAGACAAAACAGATAGACAGAAGAGAGATTAGATAGATAGATAGATAGATAGATAGATAGATAGATAGATAGATAGATAGATAGATAGATAGATGGGTGGGTGGGTGGGTGGGTGGGTGGGTGGGTGGGTGGGCGGGCAGGCAGGTAGGTAGGTAGAAAGAGAGACAATAGATAGACACAATAGATAGATAGACACAACAGATAGATACAATAGAGATAGATAGATAGATAGATAGATAGATAGACAGACAATAGATAGACACAATAGATAGATAGACACAACAGCTAGACACAATAGAGAGATTAGAGAGAGAGAGAGAGAGAGAGAGAGAGAAAGAGAGAGATATTTGTTTTTTTGTTTGTTTGTTTGTTTGTTTAAAGGAGATTTATACCCAACCTAAATGTTTTGAACACCGTGCACTTCGGGCGAATCCGTGTATCGGTCTAATGACTCTTTTATCCAATTTGGTGGGAAATTGCCTTCTGACTGGAGAAGATGTCAGCCAGGAATTAACCTATTTGGACGATTTAGTTAATCATGGTTTAGTTTCCTTTGGACGTTTCAGGAGAAGCGCTGTAAACAAACCCCGGCCCGTAAGCCAGCTCCGTGGCTTCTAATTTAGAGTAATCAGTTTCGCTTAGCTGGCTTTACAAATTAGGAACTATCCTGCTTTTTAATCAATAGGGGAAAAAAAAAACATCAAAGTGGAATGGATGTCAGCGGGGAGATGGGGAGGAGATGGAGAACAAATATATGTAAGGAAAATGTCTTACCCAGACCTTCCTTGGATTGGTCTTGTGGGTGACATTAATCATCATCATCATCATCATCATCATCATCATCATCAAGTTGGAAGGGACCTTGGAGGTCATCTAGTCCAACCCCCTGCTCAGGCAGGAAACCCTAGACCATTTCAGACAAAGGGCTGTCCAGTGGCAACATGATTTCTAGCGTTATTTGCACAGGAGAGGATTCAGAGGGAAGCGTCCAACAATCCTTTTTTTTTTTTTCCTTTTTCAATCAAGGAAACACAATTTAGTGGAAAATACTAGTTTCTGGGGGGGTTTTAGTGCTCCCTGAGCTGGCTACTTTCGTTGCAGATGTTTCGTTACCAAACTAGAGAATATCGTAGCACTGATGATGTTCCCTAGTTGGGTAATGAAACGTCTCCAAGAAAAAAAGCAAACGTCACAGTCCTCCTCCTCCTCTCCCCACCACTTCATTCCACTTCCCTCCATTCCCCTCTCTTAATAATAATAATAGTAGTAGTAGTAAAGTTGGAAGGGACCTTGGAGGTCATCTAGTCCAAACCCCTGCTCAGGCAGGAAACCCTATACCATTTCGGACAAATGGCTGTCCAGTCTCTTCTTAAAAACTTCCAGTGTTGGAGCATTTACTGCTTCTGGAGGCAGGCTGTTCCACTGATTAATTGTTATCACTGTCAGGAAGTTTCTCCTTAGTTCTAGGTTGCTTCTCTCCTTGATTAGTTTCCACCCGTTGCTTCTTGTCCTGCCTTCAGGTGCTTTGGAGAATAGCTTGACTCCCTCTTCTTTGGGGCAGCCCCTGAGATATTGGAAGGCTGCTATCATGTCCCCCCTCGTCCTTCTCTTCGTTAAACTAGACATACCCTTCCCCTCTTCTCTCCCTCTTCTCCTTTCCTTTCCTCTCCCTTCCTCTCCTCTCTTCCCCCTTTCACTCTTTTCTACCTCTTCTCCTCTCCTCTCCTCTTTTCCTTCCTCTCCTCTCTCCCTTTTCCTCTCCTCTCCTTGATTAATGGCAGGAATCCTCCCGTGCTCTCTGCTCTCCACCCATCTCTCTTTTTCTTATAACAGAATAACAAAGTAACAAAATAACAGAGTTGGAAAGAAGTTTGAAGAAGACCTTAGAGGTCTTCTAGTCCAAGCTCTGCTCAAGCAAAAGATCCTATATCATGTCAAAGAAATGGCTGTCCTGTCTCTTCTTAAAAACCTCCAGTGATGGAGCACCCACGACTTCTGGAGGCAGGCTCTTCCACTGATTCATTGTTCTGTCAGGAAATTTCTCCTTAGTTCTTAGGTTGCTTCTCCCTTTGGTTAGTTTCCATCCGTTGCTTCTTGTCCTGCCTTCAGGTTGAACCCCTTCTCTTATGTGGCAACCCCTGAGATACTGGGAGACTGCTATCATGTCCCCCCTCGTCCTTCTCTTCATTAAACTAGATGTACCCAATTCCAGCAACTGTTCCTTATATGTTTTAGCCTCTAGTCCCCTGACCATCTTTGTTGCTCTTCTCTGCACTTTTTCCTAGAGTCTCAACATCTTTT